GCACCACCACACCTGGCCTAAACTTGATTTTCAGAAAGGTTTAATGGCCAAACCCCAGAAGCTCAACAAAACCTAAGTAGGACAGACAGAATTAAATGCAGTCCTATACCTGCTCAAACTGTTGAAAGTCAAAGAGAAAATCTTAAAAAGCAGTAAGAGAAAAACAACTCATCAGTATAGAGCAATATGGTAAACAGCTGATCTTTTAGCATAAACAATGGTGGTCCTAAGACAGTGGAATGATATACAGAAAAGCGGGCTGTCGAACAAGAGCTCTAAATCCATCACATATTGTCCTAAAATGAATTTGAAATAAACTCACTTCAAATTAAAAGATGCAAATGAGATAAAAGGACAAGGATGATTATGCTGTTGTGGTTTATATCTAGACATCCCCTAGAGCCTCATGTGCTCACAGGTGGAGCTTTGGGAGGGGACTGGAGCCTGGAGGTGAGACACTGGATTCATCCACTGCAGAGTTACAGCTGGGTGTGACACTGGGGGTGAAGCCTGGTTGGAGGAGGAGGTCACTCCTTCCTCCTGTGATCCCTCTTTACTTCCTGCCACTACGGATGAGCTGCTTCTCCTCTGCCCCTGTGCCATGCCACTCTGACTTGGAGCCAACTGACTGGCAGTGAGCCCAAATAAATCTCTCCTCTCATTTGTGGGTGTGGGTACTGTGCTTCAGTGGTGAGAAAGGCAGGCCGCATGCACATAGTAATCGTGAGAGAGCTGGAGTGGCTGTAGCAATGACAGGCAAAATGGACTTTACAATAAGAAATATTATTATGCATTTTTTGGTACCAGGAATTGAACTCAGGACCTTGTGCTTGCCAGGCAGGTGCCTGCACCACTGAGCCATATCCCCAGCACCAAGAAAAGTTATTAGAGACCAATAATCACGATAAGGTGTCCAGTACATCAGAAAGATGTGACAAATATAAAGGTCACATAAAACTAACAACCAGTCCCTAAAATACATGAAGCAAAAGCTGATAGAAAGGAACTGACAATTTAACAAGCACAGCCATCCTTGATAACTAAAAGAACAAAAAGGCAGAAAACCAGCACAGCTGTAGCAGACCTGACCAACACTGTTAACCGAACTGATATTTCTGAAACCTCCATCCCATGACAAATACACTGTTTCTGGTGCGCGTGGCTACAACCTAGGACAGGCCATCGGGCAGGCAGACCCTCAAACAAGTCTCAAAAGAATTAAAGGGCTGGAATCACTCAAAGCTTACTCTCCAAGAGCAAAGAAATATAAAAGGAAAAGAAATTTGGAAAATCCTCAATTCTTGGAAGTAAGGCAAAACCACAGGGTATGAAAACTTATAAGGTGCAGCTTAAACAATGCGTAGAGACCACTCAGAGCTTTAGAGTGCACATTAGAACAGTTTTACATCAGTGATCTAAACTACAGCTTTTAAAATGAAGAAAGGTCAATTAAACCTAAAGCAAGCAGAAGGAAGGAAATAAAACCAGGAGGGGGAAATCAATGGAAAAGGAAACAAAAAATAATAGAGAAAAAAATTTAAAAACCAAAGTTCTTTGGCAGAAAAATCAAACTTAAGGAACATTTAGCTAGACTAAGAAAAATGAAGTGACACAGAACACCAAAATTAAGAATGAAAGAGGGGACACCATTATTGGGTCCTGAAATTAAGAGAATACTAGGACCAACTTGATGTCCATAAATTAGATTATTCAGAAGAAATGGTCAAATTGCTCAAAAGTAAAGAACTACCAAAACCCAATAAAGACTCAAAAATTGTGAATAGCTTTGTAACCAGAAAATTAACTATGACCTTAAAATCTCCCCCTGCACACACAAATGTGGACTACATGTCTTCACCTCATGAGTTCTGTCCACATAAAGAAGTAACAGCTTGCTGGGGATATAGCTCAGTGGCATAAGCACATGCCTGGCAAGCACAAGGTCCTCAGTTCAATTTCCGGTACCAAAAAACAAAAAACAAACAAAAAAAAAATTAAAAAAGAAATAACAGCGGTCCTTCAATTCTCCCAGACTGGAGGCAGAGAAACACTTTCAACTCATCCTTTGTTGGACCAGGGTTACCCTTCACCTAGCAAAGACCAAAATCTGAAAAAAGCCAAGAAACCAACACCCCTGTGAGTACACACGCACAAACCCTTAATCCAGCAGGAGCGAATGAAACCCAGAAACGTTAAAAGTGAGCAACCCAACAACCTGGGATTTATGTGACTGCAATGCTTAAGACACATTTACCTCCCTTCTGTGCTACCCTTGCCTGAGAGCTGGATTCCAGATTCCCGCATGGATCGAAAACACCTGAACCCAAACACTGAACTCAGCACAGGCTTTTGGGCTTATCTACATCTGATCACTAGTCAAGGTGAGAGCTTTGCAAGTTCTAAAAGTTTCACTTCCAGGTCACTGCTTCTTAGAGCTGGCAATCAGAGGAGGAAGGTGTACTTCCATCCACACCGCCACTACCAGTGGAAAAACTTACTGGGTTAACCTCAAAATATAGCCCAACACCGTTTGCAGAATCACTGGGATACCCCTAAAATTTCCTTACTCCTCTCGATGAATCTGTAGAAGAATTTATCTAGAAACGATGGCACTGAGGTGATCATTCATTTCTTTGATCTTTCAGTTCAGAATTACAACTTCAACCCACAACGTCAGCAAGTTAGCAGATTCTGGACTACAAATGGAAAAAGAGTTGCACATTTTTCACTACATGAACAAGCCAATTTTAATTTCCAAAAGATATTTCAGGTGAAAGAAAGATATGAAGTCACAGAAGAGACCAAGTCTCTGGATGTCACAGGCAATTTAGAGTAACTCAAATATCAACTGAAAAAGTTGAGACTAATTATTTTAAATAATGAAACCAGGATACAGCTGTGCATTTTGTAACAAAATCTCTTTATAGGGGGCAGGTTGAGACAGGGTCTTACTATACGCATAGTTCAGGCTGGCTTTGAAGTTACTCTATAGTCCAGGCTGTCTTGAACTGAACTCAACAGCCATCCTCCTGCCTCAGCCTCCCGGTGCTGGGATTGCAAACATACATCAATATGCCCTGCCTACAAAACATCTTTCAAAGGGAAAAGAAACTGCTCAAACAGGAGGGAGCAATGGGGATGAAGAAGGGGAGAGGAAAAAGAAGAGGGAAAAAATATGTATATATACACACAGGATAGCTAGAGTAATTGTACTAATATGTTAGTTTATTGAAAGGAACTGTTAATGTGTAATTGTTTGATCTTGCATGACTATATCTGGTTATATGTGCGACCATTTTGAAGATGACACTGTGTAGTATAACAACCATCGTTAATATCCTATCACCATGTTTTGAAATTCTGTATTTTTATTGCTCTCTATGCTGTTTTATGTATTTGGTTTTTGTTATGTTGGTTCTTTTTAAAAAATGAAAAACAGAATTTATATGTATATATAAAGATAGCTGGAATAGGTGTATTGCTGATGTCTAGTTTATTGAGAGGAACAGTCAATGCTTAAAATTTTTTTTCTTGACCAATTTTACATGCTTGAATTTGGTAATCAGAATGACTGATCTGAAAACAATATGCACTATAAGAACCATTGTTGAACTCCTACCATTTTGTATGGTGAAGCTCTGCATCATTTCCAATGTTTTTT